AACTACTGTTTTAGTCCAAACAACAGTTTGTTCACCATAGTACATAGGGAATCAAGATCATTGAAGATCACTGATTGGGAAGTCAGGAGGTCTGAGATTCTAACCTGGATTCTTCTACCTTGTAACTCATAGTAGGACTCAGCTTCTCCTTTTTACCCCCTCTTCTAGTGTTAAGGATAATGTCAAGATTGCCTCACACTCCAGGCAGCTGCAATATTGTTGAGCTACATCTCCAGTCTCTGCTCAAGCCTTAAAATAGCCTCAATAACTGAGCATCATGCTGTAGGTAGGATGTGGAAATGCCAAACACATTGTGTGGCACACAAGAAAACCTCAACAAAAGTTGAAGCTAAATTTTTTTCTTGACCAGACAGCAAAAGCAATGGGGGCATCTAACAATAAAGGGAGACTTGAACATGGGGTGAGCTCAGTGCCGTGCAAGATATTAAATAAGATGAGAGGGAGCAGGGGGCTTGGGACTGGATTCCTCAGGCACTAGAGTGTATTTTCCCTCTGGAGCAATAATAACCAGCTACTTCTTAATCAAAATTTACTGCTAAATTTCCAATGGTATATTGCGCACAGAAATACTGTAGAAATTGACAAAGAAATGAAGGTGATTTTCTTAATAAAAAGTTGCTAGCAAGATGTGTGGTAGGGTGTGCCTTGGATTCTGTTCCCGAGCTGTCTTGGCCCTCTTCCCCACAGTGCCAAAAATTCTCACACAGACAAATATACCCAACAAAGACGCTTTAGCTTACGAGAGGATCTCAGCAAACTAATGTTTGGATCTGAATCTTTCTTTGCAAATGTCTTCCAATGAATTACACCCACAAGGCCACCAGGCTTCTCGGCACCTAGACTGAGCGGCCCTGACAGGGGAGGCAGGGGCTGGTCCCTCCCCTACAGCTGGCTGGCTAACCAACCTAGCCAAAAGGGCAGGTTCCAGATCAAGAGAAAGAGCATCTCAAAATCAAGGTGGGTAGGCATCTAAAGAACAATATAAGAAGTTGACTTATTGCCTCCACATGTTCATAAATACATGTGCACCTCCATACATGAATACTCTCCCCCTACACACACACACACACACACAGAAATAGTAATAATGAAATAAAGTCCTACATAAAGGACAGAGAGTCCTAGACATACCTTTGGGGTCCCTCTGAATTGTCCTCAACTAATCAGTCTTTGCCTTCTACCTTATGCCTTTTCAAATGGATTCATTTTTTTTTCTTGAATACTTTTTTTGGAAATAGATTCTTTTCTCATACAATATACCCTGATTACATCACCCCCTCCTCCTGGTTCCTTCCCACCTCCCCTCCCATCCAGATCCACTCCCTTTCTGTCTCTCACTAGAAAAGAACAGGTCTCTAAGAGATAACAACCAAGCATGACAAAATAAAATATAGTAAGGTAAAACAAAACCATCATATTGAAGTTGAACAAGGCAAATCACCAGAAGGAAAAGAGTCCCAAGGGAAGGCATGAGAATCAGAAACCTGCCCATTGTGTGAACTCAAGAGTCCCATAAAAATGCTAAACTCGAAATTATAATATAGATGAAGAGAGCTGTGTGGATGCTGTCTCCAGCAACAGGGCCTGGCTGTCCGTTTGTGGAAAGCACCTATTATCTTGGCAACAGCCTGAGTTGTTTGGGGATTTCCATGGTACCACTTTGGCCAACAATCCAATTGGGTGGAACCCAGTCCCCAGTACTGGAAGCTTCATTTGGTGACAAGAGATGGCTGGTTGGGACTTTGTCTCTCTCATTATTTGGAGACTGCATTAGCATCGCCTTCATATATTTTAGGAAGTTTTCATCGCACTGGGAGGATCAGGTGGAGAGGGGGGAGGAGAGAAAGGGTTGAGGGAGGGAATGCAGGAAGAGACAGAAAGAATGGGGGGGCATTTGAGAGATGGTATGGATTAGTTCTTATTAATAAACTCCTCTGCCACCTGAGGCTGAGTTGGAAAGTGTCTCATTGCTCTTGAACACCCTTGAGAAATGCTTCAAGTACACTTCACACACTAGAGGGGAAGTCATTTCTAGAAGAAGATAGGTTTCATGCATAACAGATCTAAGCTAGGAAATGGCTTTTATTTTGTAGAAAATGAAGGCTCCAGCATTACATAATTTTGAGAACCAAAGGAGATGCATTTGCATGCTCTTCAAACTCTTGCTGCATCATTGGTAAATGCGTTTCCCAGGGTTCTCTGCAGCTTCCATGGCTACTTTTCTGGTTCTACTTTCCTCACACGAGTTGCCCCTTTGATTCTCTGCCTCCACCTACATTTCCTCCTCTTGTCCAGTGAATTCTGAGTGTTCCTGCTTGCTCGCTTCCTCATCTCCAGTCTTCCAGGATGACCTCACTCTCCTGACGTCTTGCTCTGACACTTCTACACCTGTGACTTCTGCCTCTTCCTCTCTCACCTCTCTCTGGAGCACCTTGAATAGTCCCAGTTGGGTGCGTGTTGTTTTCTTGACATGATACTTGTCTCAGAACCACTCACTTTTCCTCTTTGCTGCCCTTGATTCTTCGATTCTGGGATCTGCTGCTGCGGACCCAAGCAATCTCACACTATCTCTGAACTACTTCCCTCTCCCTCCCCCTTCCCCCCCCCCCCCCACAGATATTCAGTAAGAAGGAAACTGTCTGATTTGTCTTCAGAAAAATTTGTCTTCTGTTGTCCATTGGTCCTACACTGATTAAAACTCTTAATGTTTTTTTTATTTGGAAAAAAATCACTGAGACCTCTATTTGCAAGTCTGCCTCCTCACAGCCTCATTCAACTCCAATGTGTCCTGGCCCCGAGTCTATATTTGTTGATATTTTACTGGCCAGAGCCTGCTTCTACCATTGCTGCCCTTTCTCTGGACAAACAAGCAGACTCAAGGAACTCTAGAACCATCAGATGGCTGGAACAACATGCCCTCACCCTTCTTCACCATATACTACACCCCTCTGACCATGCCTGGGCAGGTGGGGTAAGATTACAGCCTTTGTCTACACTGGCCCAGGTATGACAGGAGGTGACAAGAAAGCCTCCTTATTTTGTTTGTGAAGTCCCACTCAGTTGGAATAAAAAAAAAAAAAAACCCAAGATTTTAGATCCAGATTTATTAGTAGAATGCATTTTTTAGTTAAGGAAAATTTCAAACACAAATGGGAAAAATTATGTATATTAAACCCCAATAAACCCATGACCCAGCTTCAACAACTGTTTGATTCATGCCCAATTTTGTTTTCTCAATACCCCACGTAATTCCCCCTTCCTACCTTGGAATATTTGGAAGCAAATTTAGAATGAAGACATCAGGATTGAATTGAGCTGAAGCACCCTGGTCACAGCCTGCTTTGAGTCACAGCTTTAGCTCCCCTGTGGACCTTCTCAGCACATCCCCACCTGGTGGCTCTTGGGTGCAGGGCTCTGTAAGAGACCCTGGGACTGGGCTCCCCCCGCCCCACATTCTAGCTTGAAGCTGCCCTCTGCTGGAGGCAGACAGGACAGTTGGCAAAGTACTGCCTACCATGTCCCCAAGGGCAGTTTCACCATCACACTTTTCTCTGTACATATAAGGGCCATCCTTGAGTTTATGAGGGGCCTTGAGGGGGGATTACAAAGCTCAGCTCTTAAAGACTTACAGTGGACTACAATCCAGATATCCAGGAACCTATTTGAGGGACTTGGCAGCATAGTCTTGGGGAGAAAGAAGGGTGACCGTCACAAGTGTCACAGCAAGGAGACATGATGTGCATGGACTGTTGGGAGAGCATGGTGTCAGACCAGAAACCACAGGGAGTGGTTCACTTATGTAGGGCCTCCATGTCGCCTTTATAGTAATCAGAAACATTTTCAGGACTCTGGGCTCAAGATACAAATTTGCATATTACTTTACATAAGTCAGCATATGGAGTTCACTCACCCTTAACACCAAGAAAGGGAAATTAAATTCAATTAGATTAATTAGTGCAACTGATTGCAAATTGTTTTCAGACCTAATATTAAGGGTGCTGCATGCAGGAAATACTGAAGAGATGTTTTAATTGGGAGAACGGGGGCGGGGGCAGGAGGGAGGCAGCTTGAGCAGCTGAACCTAGTTTGCTATAGAGGAGTGGGGGCAGGGGGGGCGGGACTAGGAAGGGTAGGAGGGGCTTACATACATCTGGGATGTTTTTGTCATTGTCCAGATCCCCTCCTTCAGCCACCCCCTCCCCCTGCAGCTGACTTACCTGGAAGGTAACAAAGCCCAGTTTAGCGCTACTCATCTTTTCTCATGTTCAATATTCCATTCAATTTCCTTGTTCTGTTTAAGTGAGCTGGAGGAGGTTTTAGTGCTCAGAGCCTCGCTCAGCACACTGCTCTCTTATCATGCCTTCTCTTCTTTCCCTCTCCCTCCCCTTGTTGTTTCCATTTTATCCTTCGCCTTATTTCTTGCCTTATTTCTTGGAGGACATGGCCTGGGGGCCAGGGCTCAAGGAAAGAGGGTCTTCTGGGTAGAGGCCAGAGCACTCCCCTTCCCCAGCCCTGCAGGGCTATAGATCAGCCTCTGAGCATAGAACTGGCTCTATCTGGGCAGATCCTGCCTTGACAGTAACTGGGCACACACTGCAGCCTGTAGCTTAGAGCCAGGGCCAGCAGCCTCCTTTATTGGGTATCTGTCTTGGTATAGAGTGGGTCTTGTGCTGGGGACTCATTATGGGGCCTCCCTTCCCTGATTGAAAAGGTCCAGCTCACAAGGCCAGGTCCTGAACACTTTACAATGTCTCCTGTCCCCACTCCTTGGTTCTGAAATCCTGCTTGGTGTCTTCCTGACCATGGGGTGAATAGCCAGAACTGTGTGGCTGCCAGGCTCTGAACATGCCTGCTGCCTGTCCTCAACCCCAACCCCTCGATCCCAGCCTCCGTTTTTCTTTCCAGGCCTCTCCTCTGTGATGCCACAGCACAGGGCTAGGGTACTTGATAGGAAGGCAAGGCCTGGCCGGCCTTCTTACCTTTCTTCCTTCTCATACACTCTCTGGAGAAGACGCCACAGCCAGTTCCCCCAGGAGGCAGTACAATGGGTGGCACAGGAATCTCCGAGGGCTCAGCAGTAGGTTGGAGACTTTAACCTTTCTCAGGTCCGTAGTATCCACGTAAGCTCGCAGAAAACCTTGCAGGCACGCACACAGGCACGTACGCACGCTTGCAGGCAAGCTTGCACGCACGCACGCACACGTACTTCACGCACACCGCACGCACTCACGCACGCAGTCTTACATGCGCTAGACCCTGTATGGTGTGAGATAATTCAAAGGTGGACACAGTCTAGCAAGGGCAGGTAAGAAGCAGAAAACAAACAAACGCAAACAAACCCACTCCAAACCAAACCCAAAACCAACTAGAAGGAAATATTCAGAAGGAAGAGAACAGGAAAATCTCCCAAGAGAAGCACGGGCGGGCTGAGGCTGTCTGGAGGAAGGGGGACTGACGGTGGGTCTGGATGGGTAATCCAAAAAGCCATTGAGAAGCCCACCCAACCTGACCATGCCAGAGTAAGACGAAAATAGGAATATGTGTGAAGGGGAGGAAGAGTGTCGCAGCAAGAGGTGGCAGGTCCATACTAAAATGACCACAGTGGTAGATGAGGTCTACTCAGGGGCATGTGCGAGCAAAAAGCAAAATAAAGGAAACAGGAAGAAGCAGTGGCCTGGGGGCGGGGGGGCGGGGGCGTGGGGGTAGAGGAAGAGCAGAGATATAAGAGGAGACATCAAAGGCTCCTTGTTTTAATTTTTTTTATATATAAAATTCCTCTCCTTTTCTGCTTCTTCCAACTGATGTAAAAAGATGGAGGTTGGAAGATCCTGCCTCATCGAATCTGCAGAGTTTGCGTGCCGGGGTCTCGATGTATGCTTCCCTGTGGGTCCTGGAGCAGCTGAACACACACCTTCCCAGACATCCAGGCAGAGGAGGTGGCTCTCCCTGGGCAGTGGTCTGCTTTGCATGATGATAAGCAAGCTCCTGACAGTGCTAAATGGGCGTCGACTTCCAATAAACCCCATGCTGGTGGGTGCAGCGTGAGAGGTAATAATCGTTCTTCCTGGCTTGCTCAAGCCGCAGTCAGGATTATAGAGACACATGAATCAGAGATGGCAGCCTGTAACAAAAGCTTTACCTCCAGCTGTTTTGTTCATTTTCTAAACAACAACAGAACATTCCCTCCTCCCCCCCACCCCACCCCTCCCTCTCATTTTTTTTTCCCTTTGTGTTTAAGATTCATTATCAGCCAAATCCTTTTGTCTGAGCCTCTAGGCTTATACAACAAGCAAAGGGAGGGAGAGAGGAAGAGAGAGAGGAAGGAAGGAAGGGAGGGAAGGAGGAAGGGAGGGAGGAAGAGAGGAAGAGAGGGAGGAAGGAAGGGAGGGAGGAAAGAAGGGAGGGAGGGAGGAAAGAAGGGAGGGAAGGAAAGGAAGAAGGGAGACCAGAAATGCCAAAATCACAGGAAATCTGAGCCTATGTCCCCTGGCCACTTGCATTTGCCAACCTTGAATGAGCACGTGGAATGGAACCCCAGGTTCCTGTTTGCCTAGCTAGACACCAGACACTATTCACCTTCCAGACTGGCTGGGATCTTGCCCCTCATTTGGGCGGAACTTGCTTTAGGAACCCTGGCTTTCTGTGCTGAGGTCAGCGTCAGGTCACCCTTTCACCAGATAAACAGGGCTACTGCCGTGCATCAGATACTTGATTGCCACATCCTTTTACCTGCCCAGTGGAAATGAGTAGTTCCGGGGCCTCTCGTACACTTGTGTTACACAACTACCACCTCCTTCCCTGTGTTAGTCATCTTCCTGTTACTATAGCAATTACTTGAGATAGGCAAACTTAAAAAGAATAAAAGGATATTTTGGATGATCGCTTTGGATGCTTCCAGCCCACCCACCAGTGAGTGGCCTCATGACTTTGAGCCAGTGGAGGCATATTCCATCATGATGATGGCAGTCGGGGTGGAGAAAGCCTGTTCACGTCACTTTCAGTAGATAAATGAGCAAAGGAAGAGGGAAGACAGGCACCAATACCACCTTCCAGGGCACAGGACCAATGACCTAACTGCCTCCCATTAAGCCCCACCTCTTAAAGGTGCTACTGCCTCCCAGGTTGGCAACAAAGTGTTTAGCGTGTGGGTCTTTGAAAGATATTTACAATGCAACAGTAGCAGGCTTGCTCTATAACATTTTCATTCCCCCAAATGGAAATGTTTTTAGCTATTTATTAAGCAGTTTGTTTTCATTTTCCCCCATCTTCCAGGCCTTGGCAACCAGTAATCTTGTTTCCAGTTCTGTAGATTTACCAATTCTAAACATTTCATATAAATAGAATTGCATAAAAGGAGACTCATGGGACCAGCCTCTTTCACTTAGCGTATTTTCAAGGTTAATCCACATTACAGTCTGTATTGGCTCTTCATTCCTTTTTATCTCTAGCTAATATTTCACTGTCTATAAAACCACATATTTTTTATTCATCCATCTGTTTATAGCTGTTTGGAGTGTTTCCACTTAAGGCTGTGAATCGTGTGTGTGTGTGTGTGTGTGTGTGTGTGTGTGTGTGTGTGTGTGTGTTTATGCAGCTCTTATCAATTCTTTTGATTTTATACACAGGAGTTGGAACTGGTGGGTCAAATGATACCTTTCATCTTTGAGAATACCACCCCTCCCGAATTATTTTCAACAGAAGCTAAACCATGCTCCACGCCTACCAGCATGATATGAGGGCTCGAGTATCTCCACACCTTTGCTATCACTTCCTGAGTTTGAGGTTTTGTTCATTTTAAAATGTTTTTATTATAGCAGTCCTAGTCAGTAGCATCGCCTGGTTGTCTTTTGGGAATTTTTTTGTTTATTTGTTTGTTGTTTTGGTTTTGTTTGCTTTCGAAATAACAGCTCCAGTAGGTAGGGATAGCTTCTAACTTGCTATGTAGCCAAGGGTGACCTTGAACATTTGAGTCTTCTGCCTCTACCTCTTAAATACTAGGATTACAGACACTCACCACCAGACCTAGTTTATACAGCGCCAGGAATTGAACCCATGAATGTGTGCATGTAGGCAAGCATTCTGCCTACTCAGCTACATCCTAAGCCCTCCTGGTCCTTTTGAGTGGCAGTCTTCTGATGAGAAATGATCATCAAAGTATTGAGTGTGTTTGTTAATGCTCTCTGAAAAGTGTTGATTCATTTGCAATTTTGTTTATTATTTTATTTTTTGTGTATAGATGTTTTTGCCTGCATGTGTATCCGTGTACTATGTGTATGCCTGCTGCCTATGGGTATCAGATGCCCTGGAACTGGAGTTATTGGTAGGTGTGAACTGTGGTGCTAGAAACCAAACCTGGGTCCCATGGAAGAGCAGCCAGTGCTCTTAACCATTGAGCCATTTCTATAACCTCTAACTTCTTTTTCTTTTTTTCTTTTTTTTTTTTGAGTTTTCGAGACAGGGTTTCTCTGTGTAGTTTTGGTGCCTGTCCTGGATCTCACTCTGTAGACCAGGCTGGCCTCGAACTCACAGAGATCAGCCTGACTCTGACTCCTGAGTGCTGGGATTAAAGGCATGTGCCACCACCACCCGGCACTAACTTATTTTTTAATTGGAGTGTTTGTCATTTTTGTTGGTGAGTCTTAGAAGCTCTTTATATATTCTGGATACTAAACTGTTATCAGATACATGATTTGCAAATACTTTTCATCTTTGTACCTTTACTTTTTTTTCTTTATATCATTTTATGTATCAAATCTTTAACTCTGAGAAAATCCAATTTGTCTAGCGTTTTCTCTGGCCACCCAGGCATTTGGTGTTATATTTTTAAAAAAAATCATTGACAAAGCCGAGACCATGAAGGTTTATTCCTGCTTCCTTCTAAGAGTTGTTGACTTTGGCTTTTTTTTTTTTTTTTTTTTTTTTTTTAACCTCATTGAACCATTTGAAGCTTATTTTTTTGTGTGTCTGGTGTGAGATAGAGAACTTGGCTCCTGCTACAATGCCTGCCTCGGCCTGGGGTCTAGCCCTGGACTTACTGCCTGCCATTAGTTGTCCCCAAGGCCAGTGTTCCTTGACCTGTATAATCTATTTGTCTGTGACCTTGGTCTGTACTCTATTAGCCTCCAGGTTTCTGGTCTGGATGACTACTTCTTCCCCTATCGTGAAATTTACTTGACAGGCTTTCTTTTATGCCAACCAGCTAAATTTGTTCTTGCAGCTCTCTCTTTAGTCCCATCATAGGTCTAACCCAAGTCCCTTCCCTCCCAAGGTTGAGGTTTGCTGCTACTGTACCCGGCCACTCTGGTCATATCTTGTGACAAATCAGGTTCCATCAACAAAGTGCAATTGCTAAGGGTGTGGGCTCTAAAACCGGGGACCAAGTCTCAGCTCTGCCGCTTACTACGTGGGCAACAGCAGTGGATTCTTTCTCCTTTGTGTGTCTCAGTTTCCTCCTCTATAAAATGGAAGTCATTATTTATATTTGCCTTGTGGGGTTGCTGTGGCAATTAAGTGAGTTCATATACAAAAAAAGAAAAGCGGGGGGCTTGGAAGAGTGGCTAGCACATGGTAATATTCTATAAGTATTCACTTGTAGTAACCATGCCCTAAGAATACCAGTAGTCTTTGGAAAGATTATAGCCAGGAGGACAATTTAGCATAGCTCATTATTCTCCTACATCAAGAATGGGGAGGGAGGCTGCCTCCCTGACCAAGGAGAGCAATAAACTTGTTCCTGCCAATAGCCCCAAGCAAGCAGCTTGGCAGAAGAGGGGCTGGGAGGAAGGTGTACCGGCCTGAAGCAGTCTCGCCGATTGCAAAATTCTGTGGGTGCCTCCCAGGTTACATAAATCTACGGCAAATTCAGCGGCATGCTATCTGTGATCTAATAAAAAGAGGCAGGCAGCAGGAGCCCTCCTGCTCTGCTGAACTGTCCTGAGCTCACCCTCCAGTCTGCCCCCACCCCATTGCCCCGCACACCTAATTTGCCTGATGTTGCAATTCTGAGGGAATCTTGTTATCGCTTGATGTAATTACCTGCAGTGTTGGATCTTGGGTCTAGAGTCACGTGTAAAGAAACCCAGGAGGAAGAGCGCCTCTCCCCCACACACACACACTGCTGCCACCCCAGTGGCTCTGTCCTTTTCTGAGTTGCAGATGACTCACTCCCAGGAGGGAGGTTAGCC